CATCATAACATGATTTTGACACGGGCGAGGATAGTCTTCCGTCCGGTTCCCTTAACAGAACGGCACCACTATTACTTTTTGTTTGCATTTTTCCGGCCTGTTGGCTGCATTCTGAAAAAAGCCGAGAGGTAGGTGGCTGGGATGAAAGTGCATATAAGTCCGCAGGCGACTGCGGTTGACGAGTGAGCTATCCAACGGACGACGTGGTAGGTCACGGGTACCAAATCGAAGCATATACACCGACTAAAGCTTAGAATATTTTGTTTTCAACGTTGTGTTGCGGTGATTGATTGTTTAAGTCGATGATTCGATGTTCAAAGAATATTTCTAACTTGCGATCTAAAGGCACGATAATCTTTGTGAGGAGCAACGTTTCTACTCCGAGTGCCTTTGGAACCAGTCCTTGTGCGTCGAATTTTTGGGACCCATCACGACGTGCTCCACCAATTTGTAATCCGATCCAACCTCAAATATGTCGCTGCACATATTACGAATTCAATCCTGTCTCGTTCTCGGCAGCAAACAATCATGTAAAATATATGAAATTCAAAACAAAAATAAAATGAAGGTGCACAAAGCTTCAATCAAGCTCTTGTCTTAATTCATTTAACACTATAAATGTAAAACCTGTATCAGTTTTGTATATTTCTTCCCACCATGACGCAGACTATGCACGAATGGGCATCTTCACTAGTTCTGAGCTTTATGTTAAGGTATTCGTTTCCTTTCAGCCCATCTGCGCAAACCACCCTCGCAAAATATATTTACATTATTCGCGTTTCATCTCATTCTGATGTAAAATATAAAACAAACAAATTCATTAATTTTCACTCCTTTCCAGGCCCCCTGTGCCGTCCATGTGTTAGGCCAGTTCCTTCCTAAGCTACATCTCGTGGAGATTCCCAAATCCAGTTGGATACAAACGTTCTTAGATTATGTACCTTGTGTTTATCAATTCGTGAAGACCTGTCGTTTGCGCACGTCTTCGTGCTCATACGTGGCATGCTTTCAGAATCAGACTCCAGGCCGGATTAGCATGAGCCACTCCGCTCATAACAAAGCTTCCGGGAGGCGAGAGACCTATCTTCTTCTCCTCACCCAGCACCTCCTTACAAATGCAAACCGCCTGCTCTCCCGGCGCGTCTGGGATGGCCTGCCTGCCCTGGCATTCAGATGAGCCCGAGATAGCGAGCTCGGAGCGCGCGCACCGCGCCGGCGCATCTCGGCGATAAAGCTGCGAGTCAGCGTCACATGAGGCTGGGGTGGCTGACTGGTGATGGCCTTTGCCGCCGTCCGAGTGTGAACGCCGGCGGCCGGGTCATCCCGCTTCGCTAGCACCTCCTCCACAGACTCTCGCCCGCCTCTGACTGGGCCGGGGATCCGGCCGTGCCAGCTCGGCGCAGGTCGAGTCAGTCTCCTGCGCAAGACTGCGTCAAAACCTCTTAGTGCCTGACTGGCGCGCAGCTGCATCCCTGCAGCCCAGATTTGGCAGGTGTCTGGCGACAGCAGCTGACAGCGAGGCACTACCCCGCGCTCCCGACCACCGCCCGGTCCTGGCCCGCACGCCTGCGTTGTTGACGTTGGGACCATACAACACAGCCGCTTAGGATATTGTGACGATACGCCATATCTAATCATACAGCCAACGTTACTACCCCTGCCGCGCTATTAAATTTAGTGCTATCAGACAGCGTGTATGGCGTGCTCGGTGTACCCCCGTGACGTGCTGCGCAAGCATTGATCTTCAAGGCAATTTTTTACGTCACTATCTCGCAGGTGCCCGCTGAAACAGGCTTTAGAACCCTTCAAAAGCTGCCTTGAGCTGCTGGATGCTTTGCTTTGCCCTTGCACATGTTACTCATTGCGTATTCCCACAGGAGGAAGTCTAGGGAGTTGAGGTCGGAGGAACAAGGAGCACAAACACGTCCTGTCTTCCTTAAGATTAGTGTCATTTGGAATGTGTTCGAGAAAAGTTGTCTCGTCTCCAACACAGCATAAGGTGTGAGTAAACCTTGTTGGAATCGCTGTCATTTGAAGCCAACACAAGGGTTTCGTCGAGAGGAGATGAGACAGTCAGTGCATGGTATCGCAGAGAGTTTGCGGACAAAAGTACATGTAGAAAATGCGCGTGGCAAGTATGCCTAAAAAGTATGTCAGGTACGAGTGAAAAAGTAAAGTACGTATGCCTAATGTTCCTCAGGATGAAGAAAGTAGCGTGCACAGTTTGTAGCGGTAAAGGTTCATAATGACAGAAGAACGTATGGATAAAGATGGTATGGTAAAATATTCGCCAGGAAAAGCTCGTAGTGAAATTGATCGTCCGCGCAAAATTTCGTAAAAAAGGTCGAAAGTAGTCGCTTGGACCTAACTGTTCGCGCGTGACTGTTGGTCAAAGAAAACGTCCGCTTGACAAAAAAAAAAAACAAAAAAAAAACACGCAACCCAAGATTCGTATTTCGATATCTGATGTAAGCAGCACGTTTGTACGAAAGTGTTTGTCAGGGATGAAGTTCGCTGACGGTAGTGCACACGATAAACTTTGTATGAAGATGTGTGCTGAACGTTGAGATACAGATTTTCATGCTTGGTGTCCGTTGTCTTGGTGTCAAAAAACCATGTCCGCTGCAGATTGCGCGCCGAGTCTTTTAAGCTCATCCACTATCCCTAAACCCTGAAGACGTCTCCGTCGACGACTTCGCCTGATGCCAATGAGCGCGTCACTGACGTCACCTGACGGACGCGCCGAGTCAGCTCGATTGTGGAATATGACGGAGAGACCCGTCAGAACCAGGTGGGTCCGTCCGTCCAGACCCGCCAGTGACACCAAGTATGCAATTGCTTGCATTAAGTAAATCGGAGTCCAGAGAGAATGATACACCAGCAGGACCTGCTCTGACGCACCCCTTTGGTAGGGACCCTGCTTGCATTTGACCCAACGCTGACCGAGGGCATCATTTGTAAACTGTACGCCTGATAGAGCTAGACATTGCTCACTCCAATTCATATATTAAATCATCCCGGAAACCAAACATGAGCGAAATATGGGATCTACCGGTGCACAATTTGGTTCCCTAGTGGTTGACCGTTCTCGAACGCTTTCCACATAGTGAACAACGAGTATCCCCCACGATACCAATCCTTTGTCTCCATGTATCGCGAAAGGCGTAATGTTTGTTTTTCTCGGGAAAGTGTGGTACATTCACAGCCCCCGCTCCTACCCTTAAGCTGCTTAAGAACCTTCGTGCACGTATTTTTGTCGAACCAACCTAATCCGCTTCGAACATACGCGTACGTCCAATTTCTTATAAGCAATCACGTACACACCTTATGCATGCGAGTTTTTCCACACAAACTTTTTTGGTGACAAACTTTTGCCAATCGGAACGGTTTCCCTACGCGCTTTATACTATGCCAACACTTGAACCTGAAATTTTGCGTACGGGTTTTGCATGCGTTCTTCTGCCATTTGAACTTCAAACCTTGTGCTTGCGACCAACTTCGGACGTACTTTGTGCATGGGTACTTTTGCCCTAGAACTGTCGCGGGGGGTGCCGCGATCACTTCCCTGACCTACTGTTGCCGTCTTCCCATCGTGATCTCAAAACCAAAAGGGCCCAGTTACGCCATGCGAATTAATGGCAACCCAAGCAGAGCCCTTTTCCCCAGGTAAAAGGTGCTAAGGTCTATATATCCGACGTTACGTGTATGTTCTCGTTGGTGGGTGTCTTATTCAAATTTACTATCGTTCCCCGTCCCATTCCCCCCAGTCTCACAGTTATTGTCACAGAGTACATCTGAAGGTACCACTTCACTAATTGCATTATCTGCCGGTCTGTGAACGGGGTATTGGCCCTAGCCTTACTGGCCTTGCTTGGCCTTGAATGGGGTTCTGTGAACGGGGTACTGGCCCTAGCCTTACCGGCCGTGCTTGGCCTTGAATGGGGTTCTGTGAACGGGGTACTGGCCCTAGCCTTACCGGCCGTGCTTGGCCTTGAATGGGGTTCTGTGAACGGGATACTGGCCCTAGCCTTACTGGCCTTGCTTGGCCTTGAATGGGGTTCTGTGAACGGGGTACTAAAACACTATGACAGTAAACATCCAAACTTGATGCCCCACATCAGCGAGTCGAAAACAAGGAGGGATCCAGTGATGGGAAACACAAGGGAAGGTCAGCAACTGAGCCACATACCCCGAAGATGGTCGAAGTTGGGCAAAACATTACAGTTCTTGTCTGAATGACATCAATTTTATCAAGACAAGCTTGCTTTAGGACATACAGGTCTTTGAGCGAAAGGAAGGAAATGTTGAGTAGTTGAAAATTACGGCATCTCTTTGGACTTTCCTCCAAACCGGTGCTGACCCCACGCGGCACCGTTCGAGATCCGCTCTTGGTCGAACCCAGTAACTCTAAATGTGTGCGAGGACCCGACGACTGATCCTACCGCTGTTAAAGATCATGCGCGTTCGAGGTATTGAGCGTTAAAAAGCCTACGTCTAAATCAGCGTTACTGAAGGCTGTGTGGAGGCATGGCTCTCGGCAGGCCCGTTACGCGCACCCAGCGCCCGCATATGTATCGTCCCATGTTTCTTTCGTCTGCGTTTATTTCGTCTGACGATCGCGAAAGTCGCCGAGCTTTCTGGAGCAGCAAGGAGCAGTGAAGTGATATAAAAGCCGTATATACGTTACGAAGGCACATATTCCACAAGCCACGCCTGAAAACACATTTTTCTGAGCTCAGTCTTCAGATATTAGGCCTGTCATGCAATGGTGTGGGATTCGATTACCTTGTATGAGATCAGCACTTTCAGCGCCTGTCAGATATCTGCCACACGAGCGCCCAGTGCAATTCTTGACGGCCAGAGAGCGGGGCCAATACAAAACAAACACGGCCAGGTTCCCCAGCGCCGGCCATCAGTGACCGTTTCACCAGTAGCCTGCCATTCATATCGGGTAATTCCACAGAGCACCGTCAAAAGGTGGCCACAAGAACAACGGTAGACATGTATGTATTGTGTAAGCCGTCGTCGCCCCCACCGTGGAACAGTCAGCCAGCACCAGACCGAACTGCGGTGCCTAAATGCGCCGTGACAATGACGTCACACGGACCGGACATGACTCCGGGCCAATCAGGTCCGACCTCGGGTGACGCCACACCGCGATGCGCGGGAGGAATGTCGTATCACAGGAACGGACGAGCGCGGAAGGGAAGTCCAGGCCTCGCGATGGCCACATTAGTGGTACGGTGCCAACGCTGACTTCATACCAGCGTCACGCACAACGCACCGCTCAAGTGTTGACGGAACACAAGCTGCCTTACAGCCCACGTCAGAGACACCATTTACAACAAGTTCGTCATATTCACTTCTTGCACATCGTTGAAGCGGACATGCCGAGTGGTCTGGGAACGTCGGCCGCGAGTCCGCCCGCACGCCTGAAGGAGCCATAACACCAGCACGGGCCGCGACAGGGCGGGGGATCCGGAGGAGAAGCGTGTCAGTGTTTTGATTGTTGTGCGACGCACGACCGCGTCCCGGTCCGCGCCGCGGGAGTCGCCCACGGTCACCGTGACAGCCGCGTCAAAAACGGAACAGCTGCTGAGTCTGAAGAGGCAATCTGCCGGCCGCGATACAGACGCTCCACCGCTGAGCTCCGGTGACTCCCCGCTCACCGGCCTGCAGGCAACACTACACCGACCGTCACAAACCGGCAGGGTCCGGTGAGAAGAGCCGACGCGGCACGATAGCAAATCCAGCTAACGGTGACTAGCACAACACCAGCGAACGACGCACAACCACCGTGGCACTCCATATTGCGAGCCACCTCACACGTCAACAAACACACACGTGGACTAGACACACTAGTTTTAGCTCTCTACGGGGTAAAAACCCTTGTTCCACGGTACACAGATAACAAATGATTCACGCCAATGCAGCCGAGCCGCCCCGGTACCCAGAGACCGCCGCCCGGCAGCGCCCCTGGCGGGCGTCACTCGAAGCAGAGCGGCACGGCGGTGAACAGCAGCACAGGCGCCATCGCCTCGATGTCCACGGCCGTCATGAAGCCGCCCGGCAGCGCCGCTGGCGGGCGTCACTCGAAGCAGAGCGGCACGGCGGTGAACGGCAGCACAGGCGCCGTCGCCTCGATGTCGACGGCCGTCATGAAGCCGCCCGGCAGCGCCGCTGGCGGGCGTCACTCGAAGCAGAGCGGCACGGCGGTGAACGGCAGCACAGGCGCCGTCGCCTCGATGTCGACGGCCGTCATGAAGCAGTCGGCCGCCGCCTCGTTCTCGCCCAGAAACTCCAGCACCTTGCCCAGGTTGTACCTGTCGACGGGTGGAACGCGGCCGTCGCGCTGGGAGAAGCTAGGTGGAGGATGACGCCCGAAAGAAGGCATCGCAAACGCTCCTGCGTGTCCCACCTCCCCAGCAAATCGGAGCAGTCCGGCGCGCCACACATCGTAAATCATTGTTACGGTCTTTATGCTGCCTGCTATTTGGACTAGCGTCCTCTCGACCAGCAATGACCATTTCAGGGCTATGGGATGAACGAGAATGGATAATGGTGGGGTATAGATATGTGCGCCAGGAGGCCCGACGGCCGAGACTAAGTCCGCGTAGGGACCCCTCTGCGAGGTATGCGCCGGGCGCCCAGACGGGGGCCTCAACAGAAAGGCCTCTCAGCCTGCTCGAGGCTGGCGCATACAGCCTGTCCCGGATAGGCGGGGCGTCGCGAGGATGCAGGATAAAGCAAGAAAGGGGATAAAGGGGCGGATCTTTATGTTGTTAAAGTCTCGATCCAGTTGTGTGAAGTTCACATACAAGCACTCGAAACAACTGAGATCTCTGAGAGCATCCAAACGTGCCCAATGCGGCAACACGTGCATTAATCCCTCGCTCGTGTAGTGTTCATGAGCCGCACGTCTCTCAGGCAAAAGCCGGACGGGGGAGGTCAAAGGTCACACGGAGCTACGTCCTCCCACAGGATGAGCCACCCTGTCAGGTTGTCCGTGCGGTAACAGGCAACCGTGCCACGTACCCAACACGACCGTACCCGCTAAACACGATCACGCACACAAAACATGACACACGTTACATGCGGCATCGCAGACACGTGCTCAAGACGCAGCCTTCAATACGTGACGCGCCGGCGCAATCCGCCCTGCCACGCTGACACATCACATGTGGTGCGCGCGGTGTGTGTCCGGAGAGGCGAGCCGTGCCGTGCCGTGCCGGCTGTGTATCGCACGACACCGGCAGTCCAGGGGCGGGCCGGCCCGGTGGGCTCACCAGCTCTGGTGCACCAGCGGCTCCAGCTGGATGGCGTCCCGCAGCATCTTCTCGGCCAGACGGTGGCTGCCCAGGTAGTGATGCACCAGACCCTGCAGCGACCAGCACACGGACGTCACGCGACACCATCGGCGGCAGGCGACGCCCAGCAGCGGCTCCGATGAGACGGCCAGCCGGCGCGAACGCAACAACAACGGTGCCAATCCCCATGCATCCGCGCACGACAGTCGAAGCCGCAGGTGCACATCCTGGACGGCATCGCGCCCATGCTCTTGCTGGCTCGCGGGTCTCGACTACGCCACAATGCTGACGCTGGCCCGAGCGTTGCGGCGCCGCAACAGCTAACCACCCCGCACCGGCCCGAGCCAGGCCGGCGACCGTCCCTGGAGCACCATCCATGGCCTCACACGCGCACCCAGAGGGTCACACCGGGCTCGCGCGGCACGCACCAGGTGCTGCATGCTCTTGATGTGGTGCGGGTTCAGCGCCAGCGCATCGTTGAAGTGGACCTTGGCCTCCTCGAACTCGTTCTTATACACGTGCACCAGTCCCTTCTGCGGGTGGTGGCCGGGAGCGAGGGTCAGCGAAGACAAGACAGCCCCGCTGCCTTGTGGCACGGCCACGCGCTCATCGGCTGATGATAGGCGGCCCAAGGCCAACAGCTGGCAGGCATACAGCTAACGATATAATTCAGGGGACGAGGCGGCGCAGAATACGACAGTCAATGAACAGGGTCACTCCACTGAGGAACAGCGCGAGCTATGCCACGGCAGCAGAGCTGTTGGGACTATTGGGCATTGGTCGCTGACTCCATACGTGTCTGCACAGCACTTGAGACATCGCTGTTCCACGCCTTATTTGAACAAGCCAGACAAAGAGCACTTCAAAACCACACGTTTTCATGAGGACTGCCGCTACACTATGCCCTGGCTGCGGCCCCAGTACTCCCACATACGGGCTCACAGACTAACCGGTCCAACGACCCAACGGTCCCTCGGCCCACCGGTCCAAAAGCCCGACGATCCCTAGGCCCACCGGTCCCTCGGCCCAATGGCCCAGCGGCCCAACGGTCCCTCGGCCCACCGGTCCAACAGCCCAATGGTCCAGCGGCCCAAAGGTCTACCGACCCAACGGTCTATCGGCCCAGCGGCCCAGCGGCCCAGCGGCCCAGCGGCCCAGCGGCCCAACGGTCTATCGGCCCAGCGGCCCAGCGGCCCAGCGGCCAATCGCCCAACGGTCTATCGGTCTAACGGTTCATCGGCCCAGCGGACCAGCGGTCCAGCGGTCCAGCGGCCCAGCGGTCCAGCGGTCCAACGGGCAAGCGGCCTCCGTCGGCCGTCACTCACGAAGTACAGCACATGGTGCGAGGCGGGCGCGATGGTGGCCGCCTCCTGCACACACGAGATGGCCTGGTTGGTCTGGCCCAGTCTGGGGGCAGTCAGCACGCGTCAGCTGCCGAGCTGCCGGCCCGCCATGCGCGCCACGCACTGAACAGTGGCCACGGCCGGCTGCGCCGAGCACGACCGCACGCGCCGACCGTCGGCTCATTACGGACGGGTGGCGGCGGCACCCGGTCAGTGGCCGTGCGCGTCACACGCAGTCTCAATGTGACAGCCTGGCAATGGCGTAGGCGATTTGCTTGAAAAGAAAAGTGGCCAAGCTGTTCGATAATGAGGGGGGGGGGGGGCATGGGGGCGGCAAAGTTACCAAGGAAGCTAGACGCTGTGTTCCAGGCCGAAGAAATGAGGCAACCAATGCCGCGGATGGGTGACGCCCTGAACGCGGCGGCGGCGGGCGGGAGGCTACCCCGGTAAGGTGGCGTGTGTGCGTGTAAGACGCTGTACCCACTTGAGGTAGAGGTCGGCGACGAGCAGCCATATCCGGATCTGCAGGTCCCAGACCTGCTGCGGCCCCGGCCGCGGCTGGCTGGACGTCAGCGACGAGGCCACCTCGGAGAGCGCCTGCTCTACGCGAGACGGCGCGATGGTGGACGACGCGCGCACGGAGCCTGCCGCCGCGCAGCCGGAGCGGTGTGAGGGAGGCTCGGCTCGGCTCGGCCGGCGGCGCGCCCGCAGTCGGCCCAGCCGCACGGACGGGCCGACAGCGCGCGCCGCAGGATGGGCCGCGTCACACGCGACGCGGACCGAACACAGACCGAACAGTGGGGCTCCACCCGTACCCGGCCGGCGTGAGCGCCACACACACACACACAGACAGATGGGTGTCACCAATGGGAGATTGGGGGGAACACGTCCCTTAACCCCACACCCCACACACACACAACTATCGACATCGGATTTTCTCCCAATATCCCCTGTAAACTGTGTTTTTAAACGTTTTCACATTTGAAACACCATTTTCAGGCCCAGCTGTCCTCTCCATATTCCAGGTTTGACCACAAAACACGATGGCGAACTCCAGGCAGATATTCAGCACGCACTCGCCTTGACGTAACGCATCATAGCATGACTCGCAATAGAACAATAGCAGTAAACAACATCGGGCTGAAGATACGCGTCAACTTCAGACAGTTGTTGCCACGCATATAGGCACCAGGGTGGTCCGCCATTGCTTCTGTGATCTTTTCAAAAGCGCTTCAGCATGCTGATACTACACATCTTAAACAGAGATACTCGTGCCCTAGCGTATTAAATTTGATCTATGTTTACTACTGTAACAAGATCCCTGAGTAAACTGACCGACATGTGAACTTCTATCTGCAGCGTGCAAGTGTTCTACTTGTTTGGATAGGATATGTTACGTCAATTCCGGCTTCCATTTTCACCATACCGAGGTGAATCACTGCTAGGATCACCGCACTGCACCCACTGCAATCACTGCAATCACTGCTCTCGGTGTCCGCGCTCATCCCCCCTCCCGAAAACTCGCCGCGAACAAGTTCTGGACGTGCCGCGTCACCCACCGCTGTCGGCACCCCGTGGGAGCGATTGGATCCAGCTCAACCGTCCAGAAGACTCGCGAAGATGGTGCGACGGAGGGTTCGCTCGCGCCCCCGCCCCTATCACCCAAGGCGAGGTGCAATGCGAGCGTCGTCGGTGCGGGCTCATCGGCCGGTCGCCGTGCGCGCCGCACGCGCGCCTCAAACACCGTCGTGGCAATTTCCCCGGGGGTTAATACGCGGCGGGGTTGTGCGGGTGCCCACGGCGACTGGCGGCAATGCAGGAAGCACCCTTCGTAGCGGAAGCCCGTGACACTGCGGTCGCACCCCGCAATGCGCCCCACGACAAAAGCCGAAATTTGGTTGATTGACGCTCTCGTCGAATCAGTGCCAGGAAATAGGCCGCCTGGCTGGACACAAGTGCCGCAGTGACATTTTCGGTTGCGTCATGCGGAAACGCTCGCCCAGGAATAGGCCGAAACACCGCCGTTCGCGAGGTGACGTGGGATGTGGAAAAAAGTCCGGGCTGGCACTGCGCTGGAGGGAGCGTGATAAAAAGTCAAACAGAAAACTTGACCAGTGACCAGCTGTCTTCGGAGACAAATGCACAAGGTCCACAGCGCGAGTGGAGAAAAAGAAATTTACGAGATGCCTCGAAGACCTCTTTGAGACTTCCCATGTCGATGCTATGAAGATCATCAAAGTCCCAGAGAACAAAGACTTCTTTCAGGCCCAATGGGAGCGAAGCCACTGAGGTTTCATGGTGGCAATCCAGCTTCTTGCTGGGAAGGAAGAGTGCAGCTCTCCAATCGTAACAGCAGACCGCAGAAAGGGTCCGTTGCCGGACGGGAGAGCACGCCGAACACGAGGCAACTGCCCTGTTGGAATCTTCATCCACCGACAGCACACAAGTGGCAAGTGCGGATGACACGCAGCCATTCACGCCGCTTTCTTCTCTGAAACGGCAATGCGGGTGAACCAAGACGCTGGTCTGGCAGCAGCCATCCATCGGTCCCAGCTCAGCGACCCCTCTGGGGTCCAGCTCCGACCGACGATGACCTTCGTCGCGGCTCCCCTGGCCAGACGACAAGCCGAGGATCAATCAGGCGGACGCGCACATTGCAGACGAGAGCCACCGCGGGAGACATCCGGCGTCCTTTTCCTGGTGGTCCACTGAGACGGAGACACAGGACCCGACGATGGGGAGGAGAGCGTGAATCGATTCGTCCCAGTAGCCGGTCCAAGAGGCGCCATCAAGCCCCGTGGTGCTCCGAGGCTCGCCAGAGGATTTGGCGCCACGACAACCGACGCTGCCGCGCCCCGTGTGAACCACTGGACCGTCGCGAAGAGGGACAAAGGATCGAGCTTTGACACCACCTCCAGTGACAGTGCCAAAGTGCCTCCAGTATGCACGCTCCATCAACAGGAGCTCAGGCGACAGCTCCTCCACTTCGCTTCGCTGGTAAGCATACCTTTGAATTGAGGACGGAGGCGGCTTTCTCCACGTGCTTCGGTCCGCCTTCGGGACCACAAATTGCCTTGCTTCAGTGCTTCAGGAGCGGAAAGGGGCACATCAGTCGGAGTTTGAGCCCATGGTGCATGAATACCTGGAGCCGACAGTAGGTGAGACTTGTCTCTCCTCAAAGGATCGTGTCGTTACCTTTTGCCGCGGGAGGCTGGCCGAAGTTTTACCACCCGGGTGCTCTCCACCGTGCCGGATGAATGGGACCTCCGATTTACGGGATCAGCATCTCCTTGTTTCGCGATCAGTTCTGACTAACACTCAGCGAATAGGAGCACTCAAGTGTATCGTCTCTTCCATCGTCAGGGCACGGTTCTCCGCACCAGTGGTCGAGGCTACCGCGCACGGCTCGGCCCTCTTGCGATGCGTCACCAGCTATCCGGACGCTCAAATCTTGCAGCAGGCGACCCCAAGAAGTTCACCAGTCACCTCTGGCACCTCAGCGAAGAGCTGGATGGTTCGCAACAGCTGATTCGACGAGGTGTCGCTCGAGATGAGGATGATGGTCGCGGTGTCTCAGGGACAGGGATCGATGAGTACACCACAGTGAGCACAAGTGGATCTCGCGGTAAAGGGAGTTTCAGCAAGAAGACCCTCGCGGACTTCATCACGATCGGTCGGTGGGAATCCTGAAGCCCTGTGGGACCAACGAAGACCTCGTCGCCCATCCCAGCGATTGGTGACAACATCGGACTTCACGAATGCCAAGGAAGTCGCATGCAGGATCGCGGCAGCAAACGGCTTCGTCGAGCGATGCGTAGCTCTTGTCCATACGGACAACGCGGCACTGACGAGGAAAGACAAGCGAAAGCAGTTCCTGCTGCAGGTGTCGAATGACACATTCGCCGTTATTCCTAGACTTCGAGGTGGAGGGGAAAGGTCTGCAAACATCTTCGCCTGAGCTATGCCGTTCGTGACTGATTCAATGACATCTGCTCTGCGACGGACCGCGCGAAGTGTTCTTCAATCCATCGCGTCAAGAGGTGAACATTGATGTAGTATGCATGCATATCGTGTTCATGGTTTAAAAACTGGAGTACACCATACACGGTTGGGCCATTTTAGACTTTGACATCACGTTGTCCAAAACCACTAGGGATCACAAGTTCATGGGGAATACTAGAGCGAACTTTTATGGCCTACACTGTATGAGAATTTGGCATTCAATCCACGTGTGACAGTGCTTAAAAGTGCTGGACTGGCCACATTTACCCCGCATGATTTCATCCCAAACACGCGTCGGCTCATGAGAAAGCACTTTGGAAAAGTCCTCAGCACAGAACAGGGGACCACCCTAATATACACTAAATATTGGCTACGCACACCAGGCACACGAAACCCGTATTAGTATTGTAAACTACTGTATACCATGCATGCAGGCCGTCGCCAGACCAAAGCCCTGTTAAGTCCAAGTAGTACGCACAGCTTAGTACGCCGGTCGCATGCTCCTCGGTGCCGGTCGCAACCTCAGAAACCCCCACAGCAGTCCGCCGTCTCCGGACGACAAACGCAAACTACCGCAGCCAGCGCCCAAAATGTCAAGCAAAAACCGGGCCAGGACCGGCCCACCCCATCCGCACTTTCACTGCTCCAGCGCGCCTGCCGTCACCGGCAGCGGCGGCAGCCCTGCCCGCAGCGGTGGCGGCAGCAGCAGCGGCGGCAGCAGCGGCAGCAGCAGCGGCAGCGACGACGGCGGCGACAGCTATGTACAGCGGACAGGGGCGGATGGGGGGCGGGGCGTGCGGAACGCGCCGCCGCAGCTACCTTCGCACTCGGAGCCGGCGGGCGAGGGCAACAGGTGGTTCGGCCCCAGGACCGGGATGGCCAGCGTCTCCAGCGGCGAGAGCACCACGTGGCGCGCTACTTTATCCGCTGCGGTGACGTAACGCTGACGTCAGAGCCCGCCGGCGCGCGTCAGCTGACGGCCCGCGGCTCCACACAGCAGGCACAGAGCGGCACTTCGGACAGAGCACAGCTACGACTGACACTGGCCCCGGACAGGGACGGCTTCCGCGCAGTGGTGCTCTGGGCCGGCCCAGAGAGGGCGCCCGCGGCCTCTGGGCCGGCCCAGAGGGGGCGCCCGCGGCCTCTGGGCCGGCCCAGGACCCGGCCCAGGGACGCGCCGCGGGGGGACCGTGCCGACCCGGGCCCTGGCCTCACCCAGCGTCGGCGCCGGCAGGCTCGGTGCGGACTACACCGGCGGGCCGAGCGCTGCTGGGAGATCACCCGCAGCACCCGTCATTCACAGCTGGCTGCTTGTGTACGGGGGCCGGACTGTAGGGGTGGTGTGCCCAGTACCGATGCCTTGATGTCTGGCACATTCATGACGCCAGCTATTGCTATGGTGTGCTATACACGCTTTCTACCGTCTACTCCCCCACCATTCTATGTTTCCTACTGAGTGCACTATTCAAGCTTTATACATGACAAACATCGATATCAATCGTTCGATCTCCTCTGAACGCTGGTCATGCTTTGACATGCTGTGCTGTAAGACGGTGGTAATAGTGCAAAACGTATTCCTATGCCTAAAACACGACTGAATAAGCAGTAAAAATACATACGAAATGAGAAGGTTTGTCATGTCCTGATCTCGTCAGGAATGGCCTCGCGCATCTCGAAGGAACGCATATTGACTTTACTGGCTTAATGGTTTGCATCAACTTATCTGAGACCGACGAAGGGACAAGTGCTCCAGTAATATGCAAATGCAAAAGTCTGATGCACAGCTAGATCTTACTCGTCCATTATCCAACAATGAATGGTCAAGCACATTAAAGAAGTCATTTATGTCCTGGGCATATGGCAGGTACTGCATTACCTCTTCCTCGAACGGTTCCGCGTACCACCTACAACACACGGGGTGCCATTCGCCCCTGCTGTAAGTGCCGTTAGTATTTTGTGACCTGTGCGTGTTTTGTCGGTGAGGACACACGGCGCACCTGAATCGGGGTCGGAGACGACCGAGTACTGTCGGTCAGTGTCCAGACTGTTCTCCGCCATGCGGGCATCGTAGATCCCCTTCCACTGCTCCAGCATCTCCCGCGCCACGATCAGCGCCGCCTGCCGGACGACACAGGAAATGCAGCGTGAGAAGTCAGCTTAGTACTGCCTGCTCAAGCAACGTTGTCGATATATATATATATATATATATATATATATATATATATATATATATATATGTATATATACATATATATATACACATATATACATATATATATATATCCTCGTATATATCATATTTACTATATATATATATATATACATATATATATATATATATATATATATATATATATATATATATATATATATATATGGTGTGCTATATAGGTATACAAAAGGTATACAAGGTATACCTTTAGGTATACAAGGTGTCCAGGACAGGCATATGGGACTTGACAAACCATCCTATTATAACCTCAGTCAGGGCCTTCTGATTAGATGGATTTCAGCGATCAGAGATCCTACTTCACAGTGTTTGTTACGTGAGCTCAGATCCTACCGCCCCATCGTACAACTCTAGGTCAACGGCATAATTTTGCGGCCAAAAAATGACGTGCCGCAAAGTCTAGCTTAGTCCGTCGTGCCCTTTAACCTCATATGACCTTGAGCGACCACGACCAATCCCAGTCAGCCCAAACCAGTCAGCGGGAAAATGGCGAGCACGTATGACGGCTCGAACACACCCAACCAGCCAAGGATGGCCTGGGAGAAGATCGCTGTGACCGACTCACTGCGAGGGCGGATCTGATTGAAGATGTTATCGACCCACATCCGAGTGAGCACCTGCGCAGATCCACTGCGCCGCAGACGCCTCACCTCTCCACCGTTGCAATACTCCTCCACGTGGACGCGAGTGAACATCAGCTGGAGGTCCTCCGGGTACTCGTCCTGGGCCACGCGCAGCAGCTGAAACAAGAGGCCGCCGCTGACCACGGAGGACGGGGCGTAGTGTACAGCCGACGGAGATGCATTGCATTGTGCCCGGGCACCGAGGGATGGAGAACTGAGCCTTCCCCGTCAGTCAGCTGGATGCTCCGGCCCGGAGGGAGGGTGCTGACCTGACCCACCATCAGCACTCTACCGCGCTGGTCCAGTGTCACCCGGACCCCCAGCGGCCACCCACCTCCAGAGCGCCGCTGTGCTGGTTCTGGGCGGTCAGCAGCAGGGCCAGCAGGTGCAGCGAACCCAAGTGGTCCGGCCGCCGCTCCAGCGCGGTGCGCACGTGCGCCACGGCCGCCGCCACCTGGCGTGCCCGCGCCATCTGGTAACCCATGTAGAAGGCGGCCAGATGGTCACCCGGGTCCAGCTCGTGACACCTGATGGGGGGGGGGGGGGGGGGGGGGGGCGTCGTCACCAGAGCTCCACAATGCGCTTGGTTGTTCAGGCTGCACGGCATCGCTTGCTTCCCGCCCTGGACGAAAGGGCGGTGATGGAGAGGCACTGAATGTATGGCTCCATATTGCATGAGTATGCAGTCCGGCTGTGTTATGAGAGCGGATGAGGGACACAAGAAACGACCGTAACACAGACCAACGAGTGAGGCTGCTCGAACTGATGTACGAGTATAATCCACCCCATGTCTTACAGGTCAGCGACACGGTACCGAAACGGCGAAAGGTTGGCTTTATGATGGCGTGACGCTATGCCTCGGTCCTCCGCCGCTGCTGGCGTCAGTTCACAACGATAGTGAGTGACAGTGGGATGTTCAGTGCAATGATAAAAACCGCTTTATTTAATAAGATAAACCTTTCAATTATCAGCCTGCAACATCGTAGCCTCGTTTCGTTCACGCGGTCCGGGTTACGCGATGCATAGGCAAAACGTCCCTTCGAAAGGACACCGTTACGCTCGTCCAACTTCAACGCTACTGTTCAACTGGTGCACGACAGCGCTAGCGCGAGCCGAACGTCACGACAGGTCCCCGGCATCCCAACCGATGGGGCGCCGGCCGCCCTGACGCCGGCTCCGCCCCGGCCGCCGGCCGCGGAGCACGCCCACCTGCGGAAGTTGTCGAGCGCGGCGTCGGCCAGCCGCTGCTTCTCCTGCTGCTGGCGCGACACGCCGGCCTGCAGCATCTGGCCGATGCCCAGGTACAGGTGGCAGCGGCTGGCCAGGCCGTGCGACTCAGAGGACTCCTGGCGCAGGGCGCGCTCGCTCCATCGCACCCCGTCCTCAAACTGAGGAGACGCCCCATCGTCACCACCACAAACACTCGCCCCACCGCACCCCGTCCTCAAACTGAGGAGACGCCCGATCGTCACCAACGCAAACACTCGCTCCACCGCAACCCGTCCTCAAACTGGGGAGGTAACCGATCGTCACCATCGCAAACACTCGCTCCACCGCATCCCGTCCTCAAACTGCGGGGACGCGCCATCGTCACCACCGCAAGCAGCCTCCGGCCAGCCAGCTCCAGCCGGCACGGCCTCGCCACAGGTGGTCGGCGCAGCGGGCCGCTACCAGGGCAAGTAGGCCAACCACAGCACGTTGTGAATGTTGGCACAGCTAACGAACACTCTTCGACTGCAAAAAACGCGCAACGAATTTGCCTCTTCCACGTAATGACTTTCCACGCCTGGTGCATTAAACATGCGTGCATGAGCTACCACCCAGCCGCCGACGCCGGTGGTGCCACTCGTCCCCAGCCGCTGGGACGCTGTCTGTACCGGCGGCACCGCCAGCGGCTGTCATGCCCCGCTCACCCGGTGCAGGTTCTCGTAGCAGAGGCGCGCCGCCAGCAGCGGCAGCACCGCCTTGTCCGGGTTCAGCCGGAAGGCCTCCTCGAGCACCAGCTGGGCGCGCTGCGGCCGGCCGGCCGCCGCCAACGACAGCGCGTACTGCTGCCACACGTGCGCCTCCTCGAAACTGAAGCGCAGCGCCCGCTCCAGCGACTGCCGGCGGGCGAGTGAGGGAAGGGAGAGGGGGGGGGGGGGGGGGGCGGCGTTAGCGGGCGTCAGCCGACGGAGTCACTCCGCGATCAGGGGGCACAGCGGCGAGGATCCTCTTTGGCAGCCATGGGCCGGTAACATGATACACGTACCGCTCCGCCACGACTCTGAGAGGGTCACCACGTGCCTGCGAGGTGGGCACTGGCTGACTGGGAGTCCAAGCATGAGATCAACCGACTAGTCAGTGCCGCTGCGGGCAGAAGCCGCACTGTCAGTGTTTCTCGGCCGGGCGAGCTCGACTAGTCAGCGCCTCTCGGAAGGCGGGCTCGTCACATCCGCCCGATTGTACGGCGTCACGGCCGTTGGCAGCCACTCCGACCCCGCCAGCTCACCTCGCACAGCATGACAGCCTGGCCCTTTCTGACCAACGCCATCGTCATCAGGTCGTAGACGGAGGTGGCGACGCCGTAGGACTTCTGACGCGCCTCGGCCGTCTCCGGCGACTGGGTCAGCACGGCCTCCCGCACCGCCAGAGCCTCGCTGTCTCACGGGCAGAGGCACGACGTCACCACGGATGGTACAGAGCGCTGGTGATCAGGCAGACAGCGAACGGAGCCTGAAGCATTGGTGATCAGACGGACAAGGAACGGAGCTTGGAGTGCTGGTGATCAGACCGACAGGGAACGGAGCCTGGAGCGCTGGTGATCAGGCCGCCAGGGAACGGAGCCTGGAGTGCTGGTGATCAGGCCGCCAGGGAACGGAGCCTGGAGCTCTAGTCATAACCCACAGCGCACATTGGTGAATATGTCGACAGGGAACTGAGCCGGATGGTGGCACAGGAAGTCTGCAAGCAGGAGCTGGTGTGTCGTTGGCGGCCTCCCCGGAGAATACAAAACCCAAAACATGTTAGATGGCACTGTTATTTTGCGTCTGAAGGCCGAGAGCGGCTACCAGGGCATCACTCAGTCACCCGATTGACTGTAGACGGCCATAGCTGGCGTGAGTCACCAGCGACGCCGGGAAGCGGCAGGACGGTACAGCACAGCGCGATGCACAGGCAGGAGGACATTTCAAGCAAGCGAACCATTTGAAGCCACCGACGTAGTCATTATCTCATCGTACATGTACCCCACAGAGGCCACGCCGGATTCGCCAAATGATGCATCGATATTCCATGCCGAAGTGGGTACCGCCTGCGCTTCCGTCGAAGCTGGCAGTCTGATCCGGCCGCCGATCTCACTCCCAGATCCGCCGCGACTGGCAATCTGATCCGGCCGTCGATCTCGTTCCCAGATCCGCCGCGGCTGTCAGTCCGATCCGGCCGCCGATCTCGCTCCCAGATCCGCCGCGGCTGTTAGTCCGATCCGGCCGCCGATCTCGCCCCCAGATCCGCCGCGGCTGGCAATCTGATCCGGCCGCCGATCTCGCTCCCAGATCCGCCGTGGCTGGCAGTCTGATCCGGCTCCGCCGGCCCGCTCCCAGCAGCCTGACAGCACGCGCTCACCTGATTAGCAGCAGCAGCACTATCTCCTCGTTGATGTCCTTGGGCACGAACAGATTGCTGCCCACCTGGCGCCGCGGTTTCCACGGCGACACCACCGACCGGCCACCAATCGAGCTCTTCTTTTGGTCTGCGGGACGGGCTCAGTCACTACGTCGGCCGCCAGCCTGTCCAGCTTGACCACTCAGCTCTCAGAGTTGATATACCCAGAATAGGTGTCTGAAGCTTCTAATTATACTTATTTATTACAAATTATCATTATCTATCATTAAGAAAAATTCACAAGTGCCTCTCAACGCGGGAACTCAATGCCACGCATTGTCTGCTACAACGTGAATACAGCGAAATTGTCAAGATTGAGTGGCACACGACCAGCACGTCACGCCAGAAACTAATGCAAGAATACCAAAAAAAAAAACTGCCAGTAGGCAGACTAGGGCACTACAGCGGGCCTCAAAACACTCCTAAAGTACGCAGCGTTATCTACACTGCGGCCTGTGTCGGTCTGGTGCCGAGCGCCACGCAGTCAGCACCGCTCTCACTCACCGCTGACAAGGATCGCCTCCAGCTTCTCGTAAGCCTTGTCGCTGACGCCCCTGAGCAGGATCTCGGCCAGCCGGCGGGCCATGGCCAGTCGGACGCCCTGCGTGGCCGACGTCTCCACCGCGCCCAGGATCATCCTGTCGGGCGGGTCAGACCGGGCGTGGGCAAGGTCTCCCTACGTCTTAAGTCAAGCTGATGTCACAGAGAACGGGGTGTCTGGTGTATCTGGCTGCTCCGTAAGCTCTGCTCCGTCACACATCTCGAGATAATCACAAGTGCCCGGGCGGTGTTGAATGCATGGCATCCTGTTTGAGTAGCATCGGGTGCCTCTCGCTTGCAGCACGAATCTGCACAACCTGCGAGACAGGTGTCCATACCCAGCCCGAGCTCAGGCGGCTTGCAGCCCGTAGGCCGTCTCGCCGCCGCCGCGGGCCGGCCTGAGCCCCGCGCCAGCCCTGCGCCGCTCACCTGTACCGCCGAATGGCCCGGGGCATCTGATTGGCCTTGAGGATGAGGATGGGAGCCTTCTGCAGCGCCGTCTCCAGGATCAGGCCCAGCCGGTTCTCCGGGTGCGGCGGTAGAGGCGAGCTGGAGGAGCCTGAAACAGCACCGCACGAGACATGACATAGCTGGAAAGCGACTGACAATGCAGAACGGAGCAATGCACTGGCGGTGACATTTAAAATACAACTCAGAATAGGTCCCGGCGCCATCGCCGCCGGCCAGGAAAGCAATTGATATCTCTCGCCATCAAACGAAAAGAGCGGACTGACGCCACTCGAAAAGTGCGGACTGACGCTGCTCGAAAAGTGCGGACTGTGGCGAGCTCATTTATCCACAGGTTACATCAGCACAGCATTTAGCCCAAGTTAACCAGTGCGGACTGAGGCCACTCAAAAAGTTGGGACTGTGGCGGGGCTTATCAATCCCCAGCTTAAAACAACGCGGCATTTAGCCCGAGCTGACCAGCGCAGACTGACGCCGCTCAAAAAGTGCCAATTGCGATGACCTTGTGAATCCGCAGGTTAAAAAGCGCGGCCTTTAGACTGAGTTGTCCCATGCACGCGCCGCTCCAGTTCCCTTCACGCCTGCATGTGCGGAGACGCGAGTTCGCAGCGGACTGACCAGCTGTGTGCACGCTCCACGTGCTCTGCATGTTGGAGCTCTTGTCGACCTCCTGCAGGTAGAGCAGGGCCAGGTCGCTGGCCAGCTCGAAAGAGCCAATGACGCCCTCCTCACGCTCAGCCGCCTTGAACTTGCTGCTGCTGGCCAGCGGCGCCTTCTCCAGGCACAGGCCTGCGGCGCCCACCACGCACGGGGTCAAGGGCGTCGCGAGGGCGAGGACCCGCGTTCGGACGAGTTCGCAGCCCAACGTGACGAACGGCGTGACAGGCTCCTGCCGAAGCCGACGGCAGGCACCACCACACACAATCGTCACTACCATTACGACGGCGACCGTCGTAATGGTAGTGACGTAATGTGGAGCAGCCCCGCATCGGACGAGACGGTCACGTGGCGAGGGGCGGCGGGGCGGGCTATGAGCCCTGATTCGACGGCTGACGCCCGACAGCCCAAACAGAGCCAGGGCACTGAATATAGAACTAAATCATGCGGGAAAAAGGCAGAAGACGTCGAAAGAAATACATGCATGACAGCTTGGAAAGCAGAGACAACTGCAGTTGTAATAGACAGATGATGACAAGGGTGCTAATAATCAACAACGAAAAGCTAGAAAACACGCTGAGGCAAAGCAAAGGTTTCGTACAACCAATCGCAAGCTCGCAGCGCGCACCAACATTCACTGGTGAGCCCTGTACACCGGACAGTTGTCCTCTAAGCCGCACCGCTCAGGAACCGCGCCGGACCCAGACCGCGCACGGCTTCGGTCCCCGGCTCTTCCCCAAACTCACCCTTCACGGCGTACGACTCGGCGACCACGCGCAGACTGCGGGTGGGCAGCTGACGCTTGGCGAGCGTGTCGAGGCCGGCGCGCGACAGGTCGAGCAGAGCGTCCTCGTGCAGGCCCATGGCGTGGTGCACCTTGCCCAGCAGCAGGTGGGCGTCTATCATCATGTCCATCTGCCGACCAGCGCGTCGCTGTCGCGTCACAGACCGCATGGGCGGGCGAGCCAGCGGCGCACACGTCAGGCCCAGTAGCGAGCCATCAGGGCCAGCCGCCTCAGGCGGGTGGCTTGTGACTGCCGCAGCAGCTGTGCTCGCCGCAGCCTTTACCAAACGGCCAGCGTTCTATTTGGCTATTTATTTATACACATGATACGGCGGCTCGGAGCCAGCGCATAAGGTGGCAGAGGGGGAAAGGGGGCATATTAATGCCTCGAACTTCGAACAGCACGCAGTCAATGATGCTCCGCAAAAGGATCATTCGCTTCGCTTCGCCCACAATTCATGCTGTCAAGACATGCTTGAGTACCTCAAACACGAGTCGGGTGAGAGCGAGTGCACGGCTATCCGAAGGGAGATCCTTACAAGCACTGACACCTGAATATCCACCCGCCTGGCTCACACCCTACAGACAGCGTGACAACCCACCAGGACGTGTGGTGGTGCGATTAGGCGCATGGTGATCACAGCGATGGCAAGAAACCGCATCTGTCCTCTGCAGTCGATGTTTACCCTCTGTTTGCCACCTATACCTTCACCCTATGTGAGTCATCTGCCCCTTCTGCACATCACTGCGCCTTCAGTGGCTCATGCATACCTTCTGTGGACAGTCAGAGGTGGCTGCCATTGTCAGCAGCCGCTCCACGTCGCGCAGCTCGCGGCGAGCTTTCTCCTGGTTGGCATCGCTCGGCGGGTTCTCCTCCAGGTAGTACTCCAGGCGCGCCTCGGCGATCAGGAAATTGGCCAGTGGCTCTGCACCAAAACAACTTCTACTGATGCACGGCACTCCGGCAGGCAGCCAGCTCATTTAAGCCACAACTTGACAAGTCTGTGCATAAAGTGCTGTATCAGTCAAACCACATCAGTGGTGAGATGCTGACTGGTCAGCCATGCATGCCCATCTGTAACCACATCCTGGACTTTGCCTTGTGGAGTGAATCAATGACCCTGGGCACTCTTGATGCAAGCTTTGCAAGCTTATGCAGCATGCAGTAGTCTGAAGGCATGCAAAGCATATATTAGCTTTGCTGATGGATCTAATTCATAATGGCATGCAACATAAATGCTGAGGAAAATTTGCCTTTTTTCCTAGTTAACTTTCAGAGTGCAATATGATAGTGAGCATATCCATGGAGCCATTTCATGAAACTAGGCCCACAGTCTTGTGGCAGAATACCGCACCTAGCTGCAACCATCCAAGTGGAAATTAAGCCACTCAAGGCTATAATGTGAGCCATACCATGCTCTGGACAGACCTGTGGAGGGATTACGCTGTTTCCCCTGCTCGGCCAGATCAATGACCCTCTTCCAGTTTGCCTCTTCACGACACTTCTCAATTTCTGCCTCTCTCACACTGGGCTTCCCTTTATTGGACATTATAGCTGAGAAGTTTTACTCCTGAAACAGAAATATTAGGCATTGTTTGCTTATTTGAAATACCTATGTTCAGAAATAGAGCAAAATGGTACAAAATGATGCAGTGATGTCATTGGGTAATGTGAAATGCTTCAAAACTGCAGTCCTACTGATGAGTATTACTTGATACACTTCTGACACTTCAGCACTTTTGGCCATTTTGCATTTATTTGCATTACCCTGCATGATATGCAAGAATATGTTTATAACCATTTATCAGGCCCAAAACCATACTGCAACCAGTGGCAGTTTCCCAAATGAGCTGGGGGAGCTGAGCAGTGAAAAATGACCTGACCTAGCCCCAAAATGACCAACAGGTTCCTTCCCAGATTAAGCTTTATTCCCAAAGTTGGAGTGGAGTGCCAAGGCTCAAGTTGGCAGGGGGAGGGGGCTGAAGCCCTTCCAAACTGAATAAGAAACTACATTCCTGGCTTTAAGTGCTTACAGCAAAACAGGAAATTCATGGAAGTAGCATTGTTTGCAGACAGAATTTCCCTCTCTGTACTGAAATTGATGGCAGCAGTGTGTCAAACTGTGAGAACTCACTACACAGGTACTGGCACTTGTTGCAAACATGCTTAGCAAAACATGCCCCTTTTAAAGTCAGAGAATAGTAACAAATCAGCTACAGATATTGTTAAGATATTTCATCACCAGCAAGTTCTTGCAAAGAAAATTTCACTTCTACCCCAGTTTATACAATATTAAAGAATTGGACATGCTCTCACTGGGCAGGGTGTAAAAAACAGGGTGTAACTAAAATCAAGTTTGAGGCAAGGTTCACAATTTTAATGTTGGAATTCCCAAAAAGGCTTTATTTCATTTCACAGGCAATTATCTTATACTTTGAGACATGTAATGCACTGCTGGTCCGGGTCAAGTCCAGGTCCAGGTCCACTGGGATCGCAAAATGAAATTTATCCACAAACATCCTGATATCCATGCTCCACATGTTGCTGTGATTAATCAGTGATTCTTTTATCATCACCGTTCCACATGCCGCAAACACATACTTGACACGTAGGTATTTACACACATGCCCGATGACCACCGCGCCCGCACACACCCGCCCCCCGTCCCTACCCGCGAGCGTCGACCTGCGCTTTCTGGCAAAGGTCGGCTGAGGACCTTCGCACCCGGCTACCACCAGCTGGCGGGCAACCGACGGCCGGCCGGCCGACGATGCGGCGGCGGGTTGCACCGGAGCAGGAGTGGAATGTCCGTGAAGAAACGCTGCTTAGAGTAAACGTGGAGTAGGGGCCAGAATGGGATAACTGACCTGGAAATACTGCGATCGTCTTATCGCCTTCCAGACCAAACTTTCATTTCTAAACACGGCCAGAGAATAGTCAGCGAGCCCTTTTGCCAACATTGAGTGATACGTTGGCGTGGTGTTCGATCGAAAAGAACGAAACCAAAGTCGCACGAGTGTGCTTTTCTGACACCTGATAGCCCGGCACCATTGCTAAGGAAAGTTCAATGTCGTTATCTTTTGGTTTGGTCTTAATAATTTTTCCCAGACACCTGTATTTGTAAATTCTACCGTTCCGGTGTCCCGCCTCTGCCTCACTAACGTACGTTCTGCTGTTCTGGTGCCTCATCTCCCGGTCACTTGCACACACGGTACGTCCCAAGTGACTTCTGTATTTGACACTCGTTAAATGACACCCCACACAGTCCGTCCCGCCGGCACGTCCGTCCTCGTGCCGCCGGCTCTCAGGTAAGGCCTCCTTTCCCGGCCCCCACGGCCGCATCTCTCGCAAGGGGCGCCTGGGGCAGGAGCGGAACGCGAGCGCATCTGAACGGCGCTCACCAAACCATATTCACTGGCTAACACATAGGTGTGCTCTGACACCTTACACTTGACTCTTCTTAAAGGAACAATGACCTCATAGTCGAATCATTCAATCATTACATAATGAACAAATCCAAGGCATAACAACCACGTATCCTACGAGCCTAACTTAACGTGCACAGTAGGAAAGACCCTTAAACGATATCCGCCACGCCATTGAACTTACTTAAATAACATGGTGACACAAACAATACAAATACACTATGGATCATTATTACGTACCCAGTTATCACAGTCATCGGCCAAATCGATCTGAAGGTCATATGAGTCGGGCGCTCCGCTGCTCGCGATGACCGTCCGAAGACGGTTGCTCCACAGGCACTGGGATCCAGGGCCTGGACGCATTTGAGTGGAGACCCGGACTAGGTGGTAATTCATTGGCTGACGCCAGGTAACGGAGGGACAGTAGTGACGTGGGCCGCGGGATGCGTGACCTGCGAGCCGGGACAGGTCACGGGTCGGTATCGCTGCTGTTGCCGGCTCGTTTGGCGGTTCAACCGCGGCCTGGGATGGCGTCGGATTCGCGGCCTCGGCCTCTGCCGGCTAATTCACTGTCGCGGCTTGGGCTGGAGCGAGATTGGCGGCCTCAGCCTCTTCAGGCGGACACCCAGCCACGTCAGTCCCTTGCGTCACGCGCAGACACAAAAATTGTGCTGCTGGTTCAGTCGGTACAACTGTCTGTTGGTCCGCCTGTGTGGACATTGGTACGGTCAGTGCTGGTGTAACTGAGTTGGCACCTGGCGCTGCGACTGAGCCGTTTGACTGTGCGGCGCCGCGGCCGGCGCAGTCCGGTGTGTCGGTGTTGCCGATGGCAACTGTTGCTCTGCAGTGTCACCGTTACGCGGCTTCAACCGATTGTAGTGGACCACCAGTTTCCTGTGCCTGCTGTCGCGCAGCTGGATGCGGTAACTTGCCTACCCATTTGGACAAGCACCACCGCAGGTTTCCAGGGCCGAGCGAGCTTGTCATACTCGCCGCAGGCGGGCACCTTCCGGAACAGGTACACCGCATCACCCGCCTGGTGGTGAAACGCGTTTGACTTACGGCTGGGGCCGGGACGGCAGCGGCGGGCTCCGCACCACCGAGGTACCCGTCTTTGAGACGGAGCGGGGCATGCACGTTTCCTGTGGCGGTGGCGACAGGGTCGTGAATGCAAGTGTCAACTGCATTTTTTAAAAGATTTTATCCGAAGCCTTTGAATGGATGGATTTCTGGGATCGGAGCTAAGCAGTGTTCGTTGTGTGAGCTCTGATTCTTACCACCCGATCGCGTAATTCTATGTCAACGGCACAATTTGGTGGCGAAAGCTTACGTGTCGCAATGCTCGGCACGGTCCGTCCTGCCCTCTGAAGCCAACTGACCTTCAGTGCGACCGCTGCCACCGGCCGCAGGCTATGCCTGTCAAGGGCAAATAGCGGGCGCCATAAAGCGACACGAGCCCACCGCGCCACGGGTGGGTGGATCGGAAGGCAGGCGCTCTAACCAACTGAGCCACCGGGGCGGGCGGTATTCACGGCCGCTTCGCCGTCACGAGAAAACGACATTTCCGGGAGGGACTGGGCCGCCTGGCAGACGACCTCTCGGGTCGGCGGTGACATGTCGTCGGCATCGTCATGGACTAGACCGGGGTGATAGACCACAGTAAACTGGAAATTGTTCAGTATTTCTAGCCACCGGGCGAACACCCCCTAGGAAACCCTGAAGTAAGTAGCAGCCATCGTGGGCTACTGTGGCCGGTTCGCCACACAGACTTCCGTTCCAACAGGAAGTGACGATTTGCAAAGGTAGTGCTTGCGGAAGGCTATCTTCCTTCCTCGTCCGTGTTGCACCTGTAGAAGGTAAGCCCCTATCCCACCCCGCGGTCGAATGCGCCCGTTTCCAGGATGAAGGGCGCTGCGTCGTCTTCAAATTGAGGCAGAGCCACCACTGGTGCTGGGGTCAGCAGGTCCTTCAGCTTGATGAATGCTGTTTCAGCCCCGGTGGCTAGTGAAATGGCACGTGTTTTTGTCAGTTGCATCAGTGGTGTTAGTGCAGCAACCTCAGCGAAGCTGGCCATGTAGCGACGAAAGTAGCCAGCCAATCCCAGGAGGCTAAACAGCTCCTTTTTGGATCTGGGCACTGGCCAGTCCACCGCTCTCTGTACCTTTTCTGGATCGGGACCGATGCCGCCTTTTGAGACTCGGTGACCCCGGTGCGTCACCACTGATCGGAGCAGCTGGCCTTCCGCCGAGTTTAGAATGAGACCTGCGCTGCTAGAACGCTTGGGCACTCTCTCCAGACGCTGCAGGACCTGACTGGCCGAGTCGCCGTGGACAACGATGTCGTCGCAGCATGCCAGACATTCCTTCGGTGCCAATCTGTCCAGCACGATGTTGAGTAGCCAGGCGAACGAGCTCGGCGCACCGGTGAGACCGTAGCTACAGCGCCGCCAGGCACACAGGCACCAGGGCAGGCAGTCATCCGGTGGAGAATTGGACCTACGGGATCTTCGTAAAAGGGTGCAATGGTACATCACAAAACAACACAGACACAGCGGCTTAGATCCATACGGATGACAAGCATTACCTTGGATTGGTCAGTCCTTGCAAGATGCCATATGTAACAGTTAAAACGACGGCACCCATATGGTGATGACTCATTAACCCATGCTGGTCAGTACCAAAAACGCATTGGTGCTTCCGATCAGACGCGGGCTGCTGGTGAACGAGCTTCACCCAAGTTTGACGGGACTGGAACCACCGTGATGGGCCTTGAATTACATGCTGCTGACGTGCGCCGATGTAGTGGGCATGGCTTCAGCGTCATTTTGGAAAGGCTTTCGGGCGCTTCGACTGCGCGACCACAGAGCGCTTATGGTCTCGGCTTCCCAGACGGCGCTAAAGGAGGTTTGGCTGATGGCATCCAGGCCGGGTTTCAAGCTGCTTATTGGTATGTCACCTTCCACGCTCGATGCTTTTTTGGTAGTGAACAGCAAGATCCGCTGAATCTGGTCAGGTGTAGCAGCCACAATATGCAGCGCACCTGAATGAACAGGTGCACCGTGCTAGTCTCAGTCTTCGATGCTCAGCTCCTCGGTTCACAAAAGGTTCTAGAGGCTGGGCGGAGACCATCCCTAGTCGTATCCTGTTTAGTGGCACTCTGATTTCCATCTCATTCTTGTACTTAAAGCCCCAAATAAACCACGTTTATGACACCACCATGGCAGCGCACAGAAATGCAGCTGGTCATACAGCATATAAACAAGATGGTCACCTTCTGCGCAAACATATGCGTCTCAAAACGTTCCGCAAATGAGCAATGGAGCACAAGAGAAATAAAAACTCTTGAGAATGCTGCATTGGTCGGTGCAAAACGTAACTTCTACACAACATTGCACGAAAATGCGCCCACCATGACTAGGAAACTTGCTATGTTGTAATACGCCCACCGCCAGCACGATACCTAGGAAATAATTTCTTGCTTACAGATCTTCCCCAACTGCCTATCAAAAGGCAGCCGCAACCCCGCTCCTTCCACCTCAACACAAGCTAAAACACCCACCTTCCATAGAGCCAAACCCAAACAGGTTACCCATACCTGGCAAATACGAAAGATAATGCCTCAATACTTAAGCACTGCTGAGGAATACAGGGATACAATACTGTCTACGTGCTGACTACTCTTACCAGAGCACAGCGCCGCAATGGTCACAATCCAAAGGACCTCGCTCACGCAAAGGTTGAGCCCAGGCAGACCGACTAGCGCAGTTTACGCGCTTGAATTTTTCGCTCGAGTTTTGACATTCTTTCGACGAAGCATGTGCGTGGCTCTCGGGATCCAAAAATAGCATCACAAAGGTTTAGAAATATACCACATCCGCACATCGTCCAGCTTACATGAAGAGCGCTTGTAAGCATCTATGACACTGAACTTATCATACACACATACCACGCCGAGCAGGAAACCGAAATAAATACGAGACTATGCCGTCCTAACGTCAATGCCCCCGAGGCGCCGGGTTCGCGCGTTCCCATGCCCCACTTCCTAGGTTGCCTTTGTCGCATCTAGCTCCTCCGATAGCTGGCAGTAAGCCTCAGCCATGCGGCCCTGCACCCGTTCCAGCAGCTGAGGTACGTCGTCGACGCCCAGCCCCTCGGTCGGGATCGGGTCCAGCACCTGCGCCACCGCCAGGCCCGGCTCGAAGTGACAGCGCGCCGGCTCGAGGAATGCGCGGTACGGGCCGAACACCACCGGCACCACCGGCACTTGCGCGCGCACCGCCATGTGGAAGGCGCCCTTCTTGAACGGCAGCAGGCCCGTGCCGCTGCGGTTGCGCGTGCCCTCCGGGTAGAACCAGACAGCCAGCCGCTCATCCAGCATGCGCTGGGCAGCGCGCTCCAACGAAGCGCGCGCGCGCGTCGCGTTCGACCGGTCGATGAAGAGCTGGCCACAGAGCCAGCAAGCCAGCGCGAATGGCAAGCCCAACCAGATTTCCTTCTTCATGACGGTGACGACGCGCCCCAGACGCGGCCACAACTCCACCATGCCCAGAACGTCGACGGCGCTCTGGTGGTTGGCGACGACGATGCAGGCGCGGTCGGGCTGGAGGTGCTGCGCGCCACGCACTTGCCAGCGGATGCCGAGCAGCAGGCCGACCAGCCGCAGCGGCCGCGTGAAGAGCAGCGAGTTGCGCGCGTCGCATGGTCGCAGCAGGCCCAGCGGCGCCACGCAGATACCACCAGCAGTGCCCCGCCGTACATCACCATGAAGCGCAGGTTGTAGCGGAAACGCGGGCTCCACTCGTACAGCACGGCCACCGACATCAGCAAAAGCAGGCACGACCTCCAGCAGCATGGCGACCAGCGACAGTCTGCAACCAGGGGTAAACACTTGTGATGCTGCAGGCCAGGCATACTAATGTCCCATTATGATCAAAGCTATCCTTATGACAATACAATTTGCTGATGAGAGTTACCAGCTGCTAGGTAAATACAGTGTAAGCACACCACCCAATTTTATCTGATATCTTGGCTTTTGTCAGATTTCTCATCACAACTGTAATAAAGGACAATGCTATGCACATATCGAGATAAGACTGCAGCCTTTGTCTTAGCTGGGGCATGGAAGGACACAAATATGTAGCACTGGCACTCAAATTATGCCAGGATTTAGTCCATAGCATCATGATTAAGGTGGTCTGGAACTGGTAGTATTTCAGTTGTTTGGGGATTTCTTTGCACTTAAAAGACAATTTTTCCACCATAAGTGACTACTCCTTACAGGAAAACTAAAAACTGAAGAAAAAAATATTTGGTATGCTCAATTTCCATGACATCTGACACATCAAAACAAAAAATATTAATACACCACTAAACAGAAAACTATGTAAAAGCCTGCCCAACTACAGGCACAGCTTGTACCCTGACAGTGATTTAAGGTTCTGGACAGCCCTGCTTACCTCAAAATCAAAGCAATGGTCTTTCCTCCATTTCAGGCTCCCAGCCCATACATCCTTGGGGCATTAGCCAGTGGCAATGCACCGGTGCAGGTGTACTTTCCTACCTACCGTTAGAAAAATCATTGCACACCATTCGTCGTGTTTAAGGCGGCACATATCGTAAATAATCTCAAAACAGGTAGAATCATGCTCCTACCCTCCAATTTCAATACCTTTGATGGTGGGCTCCCGAGCGCCCCGCGCACCGCACCGCCTGGACCAAGGCTATCTAACGAGGTAGAACCGTCCGGTCCGAAAAAATGGCAACATCGAGCTCGCGTGAGAAAAGAGGTAGTTTGGAAGCAGAGCCTGCATGACGTCAAGTATACCATATTTGATGACGTCAGTGGCACGGAGGCCTCTCAGTTAGTCAGCTGACCGTAACACAACCAATTAGTTTGAATGGTGAGTGTGTTTTGGTGGCGTGCGGCTGGCAGTTCCCCGTTGGATTGAGAAGCAATTATCCATCATTTCACTATTCACACACATTTCTGGAATGAACACTGAGTCCTAGAACAGTTTAGCCTCATTGAGTGTACGGTTTTTTGCATTATGGTGATATAGCACGGGTTATATGTCGTGCGGCGTTTGTGGTGTATTGCATTCCATAACCAGGCTTGTCCAAGGCTGGCTTGTCGTTAGAGAGCCTCAGGATTGGCATCAGGGTTGTCTGCCTTTCGTGCCTGGTGGCAAAGTTGAACAGCTCAACTTGCAGAATTTGCGGTCAGGGTGTACTTTCCTACCTAACGTTAGAAAAATC